TTGCTCACCGTTCTCGCTAGATCCTGCCGAGACGGTCTCCGTGAGCGAGCGTGCAGTACGGAGACATCGGGGTGCTCACCGGGGCGTTCCGGGAAGCGGGCTAGTGCACATGTACCGGGTCGTCTGAACGGAGGGCCGTTGTGCGTCGGCGGCAGGTGCGCGGGTGTCGTCGCGTCGAGTACGAGTTGAGGAGGTGCGTAAAGGAGGGGGAGCAGGGGATATCGCCCGGTGCCCGCCGCGCGCGCGTGCGCGGTACATATACGACCCACGCAAACCCAGCAGCCGCGCGGCGCGCGATCGTCGACCGGCTGACGCGGATTTGGTACTACTACGCGAACGGGTCTCGCGCTCCGCCCTGGCGTCGCGTCTGGCGCACTCGCCTCGCTTCTCCCGACTTTCCGGACTTCGGTGCTCCGCTTGGGTTCGACCACCATAGCCAGCTTCAGCAACAACACTCGCCCATCTCTCCGCTCGAGATTCCCTGCGCCCATGCGCGACCCCGGTCCACGGCCTCCCCGCCTGCACATCTACCGCCCGCAATTTCGCGTATGGACGTCTGCCCAGCAGCAATAACCGACCCCACCATCCGCGAGAGGTGGCACGACCTCGGGGACGGCAGGCGCGGAGCAGGCGGTACCGCGGCGTCGCGTCCTTCCCGAGAGTACGTATGATGGAACAAGAATATTGGGGGCATGTCCAGCTAGCCGGAGGATGTCCAGCCTGCGGGAGGAGATCCGGGACCAGCGTGAGTGCGTCCGGAAGCGTGAAACAGGGTGCGCCGTGCTCATTTCGTACTGCAGTCAGGGTCATGTGGGGTGTCGTGCGATGGCGTCGCCAGTGCGGGGGATGTGTCGAGGTTGTTGTGATTGTCTGCGTCCCGCTCACCGACTGACAAGGCCACCGTGCCCGCGCGAGTTCATGCGCATGTCCGCCGTTCGTCCGCCATCTAGTGCATGTACCACCCAACAGGGATATGCCGCACCGGGAAATCACTACGCACATAGCGTGATCGACGTGACGCGACGCGACGGGAAGACGGAGCAATACCGTACGAGACAGGCGTACCGGCCCCCGAACACGATGTACGTACTACGCACCGCCAATGGCGACCTCGGACTTTGTGGTCTCGGATCCGGGACGTGACCTGACCGCTCCTCACGCAGTTTCCAAGATGTCTGAACGAGGTACGCATACGAAGGAGTCTGCGTTCTGGACATGCCAGAGTGGTTTATCCAATTCCGTGCGCCAAGAGGACCCCGCCTTGTATCTACGGCTGTGGCTGAGTTGTTCACGCTTCTCAGCAACCACTGGAATTGGGGCTCGGTACGCCTGCTGCCGTCTAATTTTCGCGTGAGCGGGGAATCCGGAAGACAATTGATGGCGGGTATGGTGTCCGCACTCCTGGGCAACCACACATGTTTTTTGAACCTCTGTGGGTAGTTTCTTGTGTTGATCTTGTATAATACATGTCTGATATACTGTATTTGTGCGAGAACAGCTTGGGTGTGTTTCTGTGCTGTAGTCACCGTTCTCTGAATATCCTGCATGCACCGAGCCTGTCTGTGAGCTGATTGTCGGCTCTTTGCTCAGGCGTCGGAACGGAGGTGTCAGAACAATGGTAGGCATCACTATGCAACCCACACACTGGGCCTCCAACTGAGAGGTTGCATCGGACATGACCATCAGGTTTCACGGAATGATTGTGTGTTCGGGTGAGACATCATTCAATGCATTTTTTGAATGACATTAATGTGAGTGCACTTGCAGACTGAACTGACAGCCGTTATCAGAACAATAGGCCCATCGAAAACACATCACGAGCAGCCGTTTCGGGCGGCGATGCGAGGAGGACACACCTAAACCTGTGTACCTCTTGGCGGTGCTCGTTACCTGCTACCCGCCGCTTGCGGAGGGTCGCCACCACGTCTGGACGTGAAAGGCTATCTGTAGGTTTTTTAACGAGGGCCTAAAGATGGAACAGCAGATGGTCTGATGAATTCCATGCAGAAAGTGCACCAGCTTGGCCATCTTGACAGTGGACATTCAAACAGTGGTCTGACATTTTATTAACAGAGAGTCGTCGAGTGACCGGAGCAGTGTATAGTAGCTGCCATGAGTACTGTACGGTGGCTCGCCGTCGTCTGAGCACAAACAGTGTCCCGTGGTGTGGGTCATGTTGAGAATATATGCAACTGGTGGGGTAACTGTGATTTTTTGCATACCTGTTGGAACACCCTGACGGCTTCTTCAAAAATAGGGGACCACCGCAGGATCATGTCCCGAAGCACTGACACAATATCAAGCTAGGCTCGGTACGGTCGGTCGGCGGGCACGCATGAGAAGACAGCATCCTGAGGTACTGATCAGGTTTGCCGAGGGGCTGCCATGCCGGCAGGTAACTGTACAATCATCGTGACACTGCACGGCAAGTGCAGCAGGCGGCGGCAGTCCTAGCCTGCCAGTGTGAGGGCCAAGCGAAATGAAGAACTGGATCTAATGCGGCCAGTGAGCAGTTTGGTATACCCTGTTATTTCAATCAGGTGCCAGTGAACAAGGTGAGCGGTGAGTTGGGCATACACCATTCAGGAGAGGGTTCGAGTGAGTTGGCGGATGTGCCAAGTCTGCACAATCGGCCTGCATTTCAAACCGCACTGGTTGCACAGTACAGGCGGAACACTGTGGCCGCTTGGGACTGCAGAAGGTGATCAGAAAATGCGCGTTTTGACAGGTTAAATCGGATGATATTTTGGAGTCTAAAATTGCCCAAGTGAAGCACGATCAGAGTCTGAAACAAGGCCCTGCTAAGCGCAGACTGATATATTCACAAGACCATTACGTTCGCGTGTGAGGATGGACAAACATATCCATCCAGCGGTATTTGGCCCGCCCAACTCCATTGCAAGGCACTCGCTTTTTCACTCACTTTGTATCCATCTCACTTCTGTCCTGCACATCACCTCTGCACATGCCCCCACCTCACACCTCGTGCTGCATCTGCAATAGCTCTTCCTGGTCATGCGACACTGTCTGCGCTTCCTGCACATCATCTCTCCTCGGCCTTTCAGCACCCTCCTCCGAATACCGGTCGCAGCGACGATGTGATCAGTCAACAAATGCGGCTGCAGCGATGAGATGGGATTGGTGTCGAGGTGAGTTTTTCAAGACTCCTGCTCAGTGTATCATGAGGCGTATGGGACAGGGGACGAGTGCAGGCGTAGAGTGCAGCCACGCAGCACTTAGAGTGCTTGGTGGTGCTCGCATCTGGCGGCGCCCATGCATAGAACGGCGACACCGGTGGCCAGCGTGAAACACAGAGCATGCGCGATGGAGAGATGCATGGCTGCACCATGCGCGTGGAGCGTCGACCACTACTGTCCCATTGACATAGACATCCAGTCAGAGTCCCTTCCCGTGCGCCACACACGACCTAGCCAAGCTTCTCTGACTCTTTGCTTTCCCGTACCTTTCGCAATACAGAGTGACGGCGGGGTTGCACACTCGACACGGCCGGGTAGAACAATGCCAATTATACAGCCCGGTGTTCAGCGGCCCGATTCATCGCAGGCGTGCCCGCGAGGTCAAAACACATCGCCGTAAGGCCGACCAAGTGACGACGAGCAAGCTGTGTGTGGTCAGTGTCCACACACAGCTTCGTTTGGAGTCTGCAACTCACGATGGCAGATATACGAGGCTACAAGCAGCAGCAGCGCGTCCGGTAGATGAGGTCGAAAGTACTGGGACACTCTGCACGTGAGATTATTGGATCCATGTCACTGGTGAGCACGCGTCAGCACATCAATCTAATGCTCGCGCTCACCCATGCAGCTTACCTCAAGGAACGCGGACAGATGCGGCAGAGCCGGAGTAGCACAATACGGTGCGCGGCGCGAAGTCAGTACCCGCGAGCTTCCTTTTGCGGCAATAGACTGACATGATGTCGATTTCGACAGGAACAGGGGCGTGCGTGCGTGCGTGCAAGACTGCGCACGAGTCGCAAATGCGGGAAGGCCCGTCCGGCGAGAAGGAGACGCGTGTGCGCCGCGGGGTGCGAGTTAGTTGCCAGGTGAGCCATTTTTGACCTCTGAGTGCAAAGTCGTAGATCCGCCATTCGGCGCGACTCTGTCAGAAACCCAGACGTCCATAAACAAGAGCGGAGAGGAGCGGCGGGCGACACACGATGGTGGTGGAGTTTGCGAGAGAGTGGCGGTGCGGAGGAAAGCCGAGAGATGGAAGCGCGCGGGCGCCTAATGTGGCGAAAGGGAATTCGAGCGGACGCGGTGTCCTTTCGTTCTGCCTGCTTCGTCCTCTGGTAGTACTTTGTACATAGTGTATTCGACCGTCTTGCGCATGTCTCTGTCCCTCTACGAGCTCGACACGGACGCCTGTCTACTGGCTGCTGTTCTGCCCAAGTGCTCCTGCTCCCGGCGCGTCCGCCTGCTCCGTGCACGCTCTCCCGCCGCTCTCCTTGTAGCACCCACTCTCCTATAGGCACCCCCTCCCCTGACAGAGTCCGTGAATCTTTCCCCGGCCGTTTTCACTGTCGCGTGGCCCGGCTAGCGTCGCACGCAAGGGACGCCGAGGCAGAGCCTCATCCGACGCCACGGTGATGAGCTCCGAGTCCTGTAAGTGCGCGAAGCTATTCACGACAGAAGGGACACTGTGATAACGTGTAAAATAGGACCCCGCTGCGATTCAGGCGTTGCTGGACCAGCTGAGGTCGTCGGAAGCATGGCAGAACACGGTCAACGCGGCGACGGCGGCCTCTCAAGCTTCCCAGCCTCCAGCTGCGAATACTGCATCCGCGGCTCAAGAAACGCACCCTGTAACAGCTAGTAATGCGGCTAGCACGACCTCACAGGCACCAGTGCCCACCGGCCCCCGCGGCCTCGTTGAACCCGAAGCACCACCCACCGGGGCCCAATCGAGCGGACCCCCCAACGCCCACTCGGTGGCGTCCCTGCTATCGCAGCTGCAGACCTCCCGCAGCCTCGCCGCGGTCGTAGCGGGGCCCACCAGCAGCAGCACGCCAGTAATAGCTAGGCCTAGGCAGCCG